AGAGGAAGGCAAGACTGGTCTGATGGAATCAGGAATCTCAAGTAAAGCAGAATATCACAATCAGAATCCTTACTGCCACATGGCACTTGCTGCTGTTAGACACCATGAAAATGAACCAGTGCCAGTCCTCAGGTTGCAAAGCATTTACTAACTTAGTAACATAAAATTATTTACAAAAACACAGTGATAAACTTCCGAAATGCAATGGTGGGTGGGGGGGTCGTGTGAGGCTCAGTGGGTTAGGATCCTGGTTTGAGTCCCATCCTGGGCAGAACAGTCACCTATATTGGGCCCTTGAAGGAGGCAATTATCCAGCCCCCATCTTTATTCTGGCTATGGGCCTGCTTGTAAATGTGTGTATGTGTCAATGGAGAGCAAGTTGGGATATGTGAAGAAGCACACCAGTGTACCTGCACTAATACGCAAGTTCAAACAGATATAAATTTACGATTCTACTAGTATGAGAGAGAGAGAGAGAGAGAGTGAGAGAGAGAGAGAGAGAGAGAGAGAATAAATAAAAGCATCTTTCTTCTAAATACTGTCCTCAGATGCTCCTCCTGCTCCGCAGCCTCCTGCTCTTCAGGTCCCATCTCCCTCCCCCACAATCTCCCTCCCCAAGTGTGATATTTCAGAAGCAGCACGGGAGGTGAGTTGGACTAGTGACACGTGCCTCGCTTGCTATCTACGCTTTGCACAAAGGGCCCAGGCACATAGATCGGAACCAGGGCACGGATCTCCTCACTCCATGGAGTTATTCCTGGAATGGGGGCAGGTCACTGTATCGTACCGCGCAGCATTCCAGTTAAGTGCAGATTGATCCCAGGTACCCATTTTCCTGGGAATTTTCCATAAGCTCCGTGTCACGTGGGTTCTTTCCTCTGGAAGGGAAGGTATTCCAAACTCAGATGTCTGTGCCAACAACTGGGGCACCTGTCTCCCTGAAGACTCCCTCTGACCCAATCTGTCGTTAATGCTAATAGCCTCTGTGCCGGTGTGTGACTCAGTGGGTTAAGATATTGTGCCTGTAATCGGAAGGTGATCAGTTCCAATCCCATGGTCGGCAGAGTGTTTTCACTGTTGTGCCCCTTGTGCAAAGCCCCTAACTCCTGATTGCTGCCGGGACTAGCTGACTCTGCCTTTTCAGAAATGTACATTACTTTGAATAAAACGTTAATCTTGTTCCAAGACCAGCCCCCCTCCCCTCCTCCCAAAGGCCAGCTGGTGGCATGGGTGCCCAGCGGGTACTGGGGTGGGTGCTGGGTGTATGGGCATCACTGAGGGTCCTGCCTGCTGTGATTCTGGTCTGTGCCAGAGACATGTGACTGAATAAACAGGGGATTAGCTGTCGGTGTTTGCATTGGGGTTTCTGCTGGATACCAGGCCTCCATCTCGCCTCCAACTTCCTCGTTTACATAAGTACTTGAACAATGCTGTCACTTCCAATACATCACCTATACAGCAGGGAAAAAAACAGGGATCAAAGAGGATTTTGTGTGTGTGTGTGTGTGTGTGTGTGTGTGTGTGTGTGTGTGGGACTGAGAGGTGGAGCTAAATCCTTTTGTCGTCACATGAATGAAACCCTTTTCTGAAGAGTTGCCTTTTTGAAGAGGCGGCAATGAGGACGAGTGAGAAAGGGAGATGGAGAGGGAACGTGAGAGAAAGAGAGCGAGTTGTGTGGCTCTCTTGGAAACAGATGCCCTGTACTGAGAGCAGTTCATCTTTAATCTCCTGTTTACTCGTGTGCTTTTGTTCTGCCGATTTTGCGAGGAGTGTATAGTCATCACACCCAACCTACAGACTCCAGGCTTTTGTGGTATGAACAGACAAGGGGGGTGGTCAGGCTGAGGGCGACAATGGGGAGGGAGGTGGGGGCACGTGAAATTGTGAAGGTCTGGGTGGCGGGATTTGGCAGCTGGGATGTGAGACACACAGAAAATCACATTGTGTCCCGGCTGGTTGTCCGCTGACAGTCCGCTTAGACGCTCTTCTATCTGGAAGCTGGACCTCATTCAGCCAGACTTCATTCCACTTCCACAAGTCCTGCTCTTCTGAATTTCCTTTAGTACCATGGTCTCGACAAGCACTCCAGAACAGACATGGTCATTTTCTTGAGTAAGAACATCCGATCTCTACTGTCCATCTTCAAGAAGAAGGGTGAGTACGGGTCTGTCGCTGTCTGTAGATCCAGTCGGTCAGCGTTTGTGCTTGCAAACAGGAAATGATGTGTGGAACTTCAAGTAGACTTTCCTGATCTCAGAAGCGACAGGTTCTGCAACTGACGGGGTGCGGGAAAACCATCAAAAATGGAAGAGGGAAATGGTCAAAGCCTTGTGCCAATATACTTACACCGGTGGAGAATGATGACGATGTTCGGCATTCCTAAGAACGAAGCAATCCTCAGTTTTGTACACTGAGATGTTTATTTTGAGCAGTTGGAGGTGGCTTAAACGTTCTTGACTGCAGGTGACTTTGTGACAGTCAGGAATGGAATTTGTTTAAAAGATACAGATCTGGACCTGGTTTTTTACAATTTCTGTATGATGGTTCTGACCCTGAATCACTGGTATCCATAACCATGAGCTCCTCCCACCCACAATCATGTATGATAGACGTTTCCTCTTGTTGAGACACTGTGTATTAATTAATGAAGGGGTAAATATGCTCTCTGTAACTGTCTCACATTGAGAAATTACACCTGATTGAGCACAATTTCCAGAATTAGATCTGATAATTAATGGATTGTGCTGGTCTGATCAAGGAGCCTAGTGACTTCTGGTCATCTTTCTGAAACCGAAAAAAAATTAATTAGATCAGTATTAAGTTCATTATAATGTTTCTCCAATAGATAATGTGGCCCATTTTGTCCATGCCTCATTGCTGATTTAGCCGCCCACACCAAACCAGTCTGGCAGGCATGGATGTTACCATGATTACCTTAGTCACCTGACACCCTGCAGAGAATCACCTTATCTGATTGGCTTACTGGACAATCCCACAGGAAGATACTTGGATTGAAGGGGAGGCTGTTAGGTTCCCTTTTATTTCTTTGGCCATTGAGAGCAGGATACTGAAGACCCAATGAGGGGCTTTTTACCCCGTAGAGGAACTCCGGCCACTGAATGAGGCTCAGTCCTGTTTCGGGGGGCGACCGTTGGTCGGCTGAATTTCACTGCCAGGTGTTCCCTTTCTCCCCAGTTCCCCTGCACAAAAAGTCTCCTTTTCATGGTTTCTGTGGAGATTGTTAGCTAAAACACTCAGACCTGAGATCTGATATATTCCTATTTAAATGTGTCGTTCATAATATAAGACCCTGTCCAGAATGGCTGGAGTTCTGTAGCATTAAGATAATTTACAAAACTCACTCAGTCCACGGGATACGTCTGTAAGTAATTATATGGACTTATTGAGTTTTGGAAATTTAACAAAGGTTCTTCATTGGATTACATGAGCACTGAGTGAGTTTTGGTTCCCAGTACTGTAACTTATGATGAGGAAGCCTGACTTTAGGTCATTGGTGGTCTCACTATCAGTCGCACCATTTTCTTTGTTCCTCACTTAGGCTGGCCAGGCACATCATGGCTTTGCTGCAACACTTTGATTTGAAGGCATTAATGAGTGAGTCAAGTTAATCCCCTTGTCACCCCCATATGGCTGAATGGCCCAGGAGAGATTTAAATGGCACTGATAGGATTCACCTCGATAGAAATATCTCTCCACACATGTGATCATAAGTAATCAGGCTCCCCTCCTTCCTGGTTATTCTGGTGAGGGAGATATTCACTGATTTCATCTAGACCTGTTTGTCTTGTTCTCCTTACATATCACTGTCCTTCATTACAATTGGTGAAACGATTGATGTAATATACCAAGGTAAATACTCAAGAACAATGAAAATCACAGGCCAGTGTTCTGTAATCTGACTGGTTAGCAAAGTAGCCATCCCATAGTGCTTCTGGGCCGTTTTCCAGGAGGCCTCCCAAGGATCTGATCTGGGGGACAGCAGAATACAATCTTGTGAATATAAGTCCCTCAGGAAGTACAGAGCTTAGTTCCATGGACACCTCTTCATTGTTCCTTCCAAACTAATAGGGGTTGCTTAAGTAACCCATTGATAGAGGCAGAGTGCAGCGTTTTTGGTTTCCTCTGCCTCAGAAAGGCTGGTATAACAGGTTTTATCTTTCTCTCAGCTTTAAGGTGGTACTGTTTCAGATATGCGCTGAATGAGCACTTAGTGTCCACAGCTTACAGTCGAGCATACTCTCTGGCTTGGACTGGACTGGGCATACGCATTGTGACTGTAAAGGTCACCCTGTGCCTTTGGAGGGACACACAACTTTTGGCTGGTGCCGCAGGATAGAGGAAAATGTGTGCCGATCCTTAACCCCTTATATGCCAGAGGTGGTTAAAACCAGTCACTGTCAGTGCCGATGGTCTGGTGAAGCACAGGATGGGAACAGACTGGGATTCTGAAACCAGTCCATTGGTTTAAGGCAGCACATTGAAGTGAAGTCACTTTATATTTTGCATCGCATCCATCCCAGCATGGCTTCCTCAAACTGCTTAACGAATGAAAACGAATCATCTTTAGCAGATAGTTAGCAAAGACTTCTTCTATCCTAATTGATGTACATTTCAGAAAGCAGGTTCAGATAGTTTAGGGTTTAACAGCCCTGATCAAGGGTTCAACGGCGGGATTTGAACTGGAAACCTTCCAATAACAGGCTCAGTATCTTAAAACACTGAACCACACTCCACTGGATGAAAAAAAGCTAAAGAACTGGTTCACATTGACCATTTTAGACTCCAGTATTTGCCTATACTTGCTAGTAAAGGCATTAAGGTGGACATCAGTGTCCCAGCCAGGCTGAACCTGAACGTGAGACAGAGAGACCTTTAAGGCTCCCCTCTATTCACCAGCGAAGGCTGCAGCTCCACATATGTGCATTGGGAGTCTCTGTCTCACCACCACCTTCTCTGTCCCTCCTTTTCCCTTACGGCAGCTGCCTCAAAGCCGGAGGATGACCGCAGGCTGACCGTGCACTACCAGGTTTCGCCGCACTACCAAGAGAATGTGTTCATTGAGGGGAGCCGGCCGCACTACCTGCAGGACCTGCACATCGAGGCCCAGGAGGGGCTCAAGAAGCTTCAGCAGGATGGTACGTCCAGCTGGCTCCACCCAGCATCCGCCCCAAAGTCATCAGAGATCATCATCTGTCACAATCTGAACACAGTTTATAAATGGGCTTTCTGTACCTGCGTTATAAAGCTATAATGTTATAATTTCAACAACAGCGATGTTGCATGCTTTATTTTTCACAGAAAAGAGGAGTGACCTTGACTTCCAAGACGGCCAAAGTGTCAGCGTAAGAGTTTTTTTTTTTTTTTTAGGTTTTTTTAATTGATCTATTCTTTTTTCCAGTAACCACAGCATGTCAGTATCTATTGTCTTGTAGTATCTTGTGGCAGCATAAAAACAAGAATCTAAAAATGAATATAAAGCATAATCAGTATACTGTGTTTGCCTCCATTTTAGTCATCAGCGGTGCTTCCACCAGGGGGCGATAGCGAGCCACGGGACAGGAAGGAGTCACTGGAGTCTGGAAGCACCGCGGGTGACTCCGTGTTGATGGCGTCCAGGCGATCCTCATTGAGTCGCCAAGGTAATCTATGAGCTCACACAGAAAAATTTTAGCTTTTCGATGCCATGGTCTGACCTAATCTGGTCTCATGTTCTCTCACAGCAGAGTTTCAGTAACAGAGCCTGATTGCATTCTGAACTGAAAAAGCAGCCGCCTTTACAGTATATTATACTCAGGGGCACCCATCATGGGGAAGACAGGGGACTTTGAGTCCCAGGGGGGGTTTCAGTAGAATATTTCAGGGACACACTCATGCCTTTGCAAGGCCTTGAATACACAGCCTGTCTAGTGAATATTAAATCAGGGACTCTGATGTCAGTTTTGTTTTGGAGGGAAAAATCTGCACAGGGATATTAAATATCAAAACCAGTAAGATACATAAGCCCAGTCTCCATGATGTGGTTTTTTAGACCAGGTGGTCGGCTGGGATACAGACACAAGAATTCCACGTATGCTCTCAGTTCTGTCTACAATGCAGTCTCTCTTCTGTGGAGGATGTGAGTTGGGGGTGGGACAGAGTGATATTAAAAGCAGCAACAGACCCCCAGCATTCCAGGGCTTGATCCATGACAGCTGAAGGGCGTGTGGGCCTCATTCTGGAATATGCACACACTTCTCAGCAGTCGCTCTTTACATTCTTTATAGGCTCGACATTCAAGCCCCTGAATCCCACTAAGGTGGAAAGGCCCAAGAAGAGGGGCAGACGCACCACCATCATGGGGATACCTCAGCATGTCCAGAAGGAACTGGGTACAACGAAACTGGAAAACTGTTATTATCCCTCAGGAAGTAGTTTTATACTAAGCTGATCAGTGTTACCCTTAGCCAGTATGACTGCGGCTCATTTCAGTCCCACTCAATTAGAATTAAGCAGACCAAGATAGAATGTGAAATATATAAGGTTTCAGGGAATCTGAAGGTTATGGCCAAAGGTATTCACAGAAATAATTAATTAAGCTTTATATTTATATATGATTTGCTTATTATGGTGTATTAATTACACATTAAAGGATGTCAATGAATGTTAATAATTCTTTTGTATCTCATCCAATTTTTTTCCACTTTGAAGGGTTGGAGAGAAGTACGCTGTTTCGTCAGAACATGGACAGACAGCTCACCAATGGAAGAGAAGCTCCTCCTGATGTCGTGGTCATACCAACCGTTGATGGGGACGCCCCAGCGGTGAATCATGAAGGAGCACGAGTCCACCTCCTGGACCTTGAGGTTCTGCAGTCGTCTAAAGAAGAGCGACTCCTCAAACAACACATCCAGGAAGTCTACAGGGATGACCTGGCCCTTGGACGGCAGTTCGGCCATCGCCTGTCTCCATCGCTGAGGCCTAAATCGTTGGCTGTGCCAGGGTTGACCACCACTGGGTTTCTACAGGAGCCACAAGGCCCGGTCATGTCCATATCACCCCAAGCTACCTACTTGTCTAAGATCATTCCTAATGCCATCCTGCCCGTTGCGGTGGATGTGATTGAGATCAGCCGTTGCCGCAGCCGGAGCAGCGTCCGCACGGTGAGCAAGAGCAGCGTGGCGTCGGGGAGCCCAGCCTCCTCGCGCTCTCAGGTCCGTCACGGACCCTCATCTGCCGACTCCAATTGGAGCCACTCGCAGTCCTCGGAGACCATCGTGTCCAATTCCTCCACCATTTCTTCCAAGGGCAGTGCCAGCCACACTATGGTGCCTAATGGCACTGTGAAGGAAAATGAGCAGAGCAGGCAGCTGGCCCCGGACCAGTTGAGCATTGGCAGTGCCACCAGCTGGGTCAGTTCAGCAAGTGCGGGCACCAAAACGCAAGTTGAGTTGAACTCCCATGCCATGCAAGAGAGGGATGAAGGTGAAAGCCAGCGGAGCGACCACTCTTGTGTCCGCAGTATGTCTGTGATGAAGACAAGGATGCCGCCAGCCCCACCCACACGAACGTACTCCCTGCATTCCAAAAATATCAAGCCAGAGGTTACATACTCGGAAGTCAGTGTTGGGAAGATTTCTCGGGTCAACGGAGTAAAGCATGACAACATTCTGGAGGAGGCTCTCTCACAGAACTTGACTGGCAGTGCTGGGAGTCCTACAAACTCTGCAGACTCTTCTCTGGACGACTCCAGATCTTCTGTCTCCTCCAGCATATTAACCCCAGACCAAACAGTCACCCTAGATAGTGTGCTGAGTTCTGGTGAATCCTCTCCACAGAAGCTGGCCTTCCAGGATAATAAATTCGATAGGACCTTGTCTCCTTCCAGCGGTTATTCCAGCCAGAGTGGCACCCCCACACTCTCCGCTAAAGAAATCTGTTTACCTTCCCTAGGAAAGATGAAGGCCAAGCCTGCCAAGCCAGAGCGGATAGGCTCCCGAGCATCGCCCGTTGCCTCAATCTCATCTTCGCTAACTTCCTTGTCATCGGCTATGTCTGAGCCTGTTCACCAGGAAGCCCCCACCAATGGCCTGCCCCCCCATATTCCCAGGGTCTCACACCCCGTTTCTGTAGACAGCGCCAAGGTCAGCCCCACACTCGGAGCCAGATCTGTCAAGGAAGTATTTGACATTCCTCCACCACCAAAAGTCAAGGCACCTTGTCCTCCACCCCCTGAGACGTGGATGCACAACAGACGCACCTTTGATTTGCTTTGTGGCTCAAGCGGTGCGTCCAACAGGTTTTCCATGCTTCAAAAGCAGCAGGCAACGGTCCTCCTGTGTGATCAAAGTCAAGGGACAGCAGAGGGGCAGCAACAAGATGAGGATCTAACTTCAAAGAAGGAAGAGGTGGTAATGGAAAGCCAAAGGGAGCAAGCATCAGTGCAGAACTCTGAGTTTTCTGTAAAAAGTTTCGGGGATCCCTCAGCTGTGAAAATCGAGGAAGGTCCAGTAAAGCAAACTGCAGAACATGTTCAGAAACAAGAAATGACAGAACCAGCCAAAGATCAAAGTTTAGATGGTGAAGTTCTGCAACTTCACCAAACAAACCAGAAGAAGGAACAAGAAGATATGGTAATAGTAAAGAAAATGCCACCCCCGGTCATGAAAAGGAGTAGTTTAATAGCATATAAAAAAGAGAACCTTAAAGCTGAGGAAAATCTGCTGGCTCAGATGAAAATGGTCCCTCCAGAAGTAAAAATCCATAGTTCCCCTGAAGAAATATTTACTACCCAGAAGGAAGATGCTAAGGTCAAAGATCCTGTTGTAGGTTTGAAGTCAACCATGCAGATTCTTCTAGTGGAAGGTCCCAAACAGGTTGGTATTTCTCCACCTCCTTCCCCACCACCCTCTCATCAGCCTCCCCCTCCGCCATCGAAAAAAAGCCCCCCCATCGCAGTGCCCTCCGTTTTCCAGGAAGACCACCAAGAGACTCCCACAATAGAGTCATCCTGGCCTCCTCCACCTCCTCCACCCATGGAGGAGAATCCCACACCAGTCTTTGAAGGGCAAGATGAACTGGACTTTCCCCCACCTCCACCACCAGTTTTTCAGGAAACCCTGCTTGATGTAGTGGATAATTTCCCAGTAGCTGAGATTCAGAGAATGTCGGGCGCCACAGAGGAGAGAACAGTAGAGGAAGAGCCACCTGAAGAGTTGGCACCCTCTACCCACATGGGGACAGCATACGAGGAATGCCGAACCCAGGTTGTAACCCATACTGGAGGAGATGTGACACAAGAAAGCACAGGCTTATCATCCACCTTCGTCAACCCTATCACAACAGAGGTCCAAATCCACTGTTCAACGACTCCTTTGGAGATGAGGCCAACTTCTACTGTAAGTCAATATTCAGAGTCTCAGGTTCCACGGCTGTCATCTCCTCTACCAGAGGGTATACCTCCTCCCCCACAGGAAGCTCCACCACTACCACCAGCTACCGTTATCCAGACTGATCCACCTGCATTTTCTCACGTCCCCCATGCTTCCATACTGCTGGGAGAGAAGCAAGCCACTATGAGCTTTAAAAGAACAAGTATCACAAACCGAGATGGCAAGGGTAAAGACCAGCAGTCTCGGAGCAAGACTACTCCTGTACCCAAGGAGGATGCCAACATTCCACTAGTCACACCCTCGCTCCTCCAGATGGTCCGTCTACGATCTGTCAATGTCAGTGATGATCAGACCACAACCCCTACAGAGAGCATTAACCCAACTGAGAGTAACAGCTCCAACGAGGACCAAAGCCAGACCCAGACATGTAGCCACAGTGTTCCTCAGAAGCCCATTCGAAAATCATTGTCCATGAAATCACCTCCACCTGTAGGGACATCATCTTCCATGCGGCTGCAGGAAGCTATCCGAATGAAGACAGCGGCCATGAGACCAAAGGAAGGGCTCCTGGCCAGGCCCAGCCTGCAATCATCTGGCAGTGTGGAGTCTGGGGCAGTCTCCCCACGGTCACCAGACGGGGGTGACATTCACAAATCTCCTGCCTCCACTGCCAGCTTTATCTTCTCCAGGAGCACAAAGAAAGTCGTCATCGAGACACCCACTTCCCCTGAGCTTCAATCCAGCCTCAAGCAGAACCTGGCAGCAGAGCTTATGCAGATCACGGACTCAAGTTCGGTGGCTGCTAATTCATGCGCTCAGACTCAAACCAAGAAGCCAAGCAAGATACCACCACCTGTTGCCAGAAAACCAGAGTATGTACCGAACCAGCGGGAAAAATCGATGAGCCAGAGTGCAAACGTGGAGAATGCCAACGGACATACAGGAGGAGTGCGACCTGCAGGTCAGCAAGCACAGCAAACGGATGGCAATTAGAGTAAGACCACGTTCTTTTTATTTAATGCATTTCATAATATTAAATTTCTGTAAACATCCTTCTTGAAGATGATTTGCATATTGACAGAGAAGCAAAATAATCCACAAAAGTGATTTGAGCCACAGAATTTTGAGCTTTTTAAGATTCCCAACATACACTTCAGCTAGAACTTTTTTTTTTATTTATGCCAACGCTTCCTGTCCCATCCATCCCATCCATCCATCCATCCATGCATCTATCCATCCAGCCAGCCAGCCCACCATAGGCACCATTGGGCAAATGCCTAGGATATATCCTGGACAAGATAACTTAGACAACTCGTTATTTAAGAAACTTGTCCTTGTTTGGCAAAACGGTAATATTTATTTAGTTATATTTCTTATTTAGTTATTCAAATTACCCTGTAGCCTATCATCAGCTCTCCCACTGAGGAAGTGGCATCCAGTTGTGATGATTTTGCTTTAGTCTGTGCTAATGGATGCCAGATATAAACTTGGCTCTCTCATCTTCTCCCTTCTCCGCAGGTAGTCAAGAAGATGGAAGTGCGGTTGGAGTACCACCAAGCTTGTAAACAACTGCACGTCTTTTTGGAGACTAGCCAGCAAGAAATTTGGAGAGAGACTCTAAAGAGGAGTCAGTTGGAAATGCTCATTGCGAGGAAGTCTTAATCAAAGCCTTAGCCTTAAGTGGCCTGCATATTTATGCAAAAATGGTGTTTATATTAATTTCCCTTGATTTTATAGCTTTATTTTGAAACATTTGTCTTTTTAAATTGTTTCTGTTCTACAAAAGCGCAAGTAGAAACCCCTTGAGTATGTTACTCTGAATATTGTTTTTTCTTTTTAATTCCATGGTCTTTATGACTGTAAGCCTGCGTTACCACCTAGTGGTCATGATGGGTAGTAACCACTACTGCCAAGTTTTGAAAACGGCCCAAAATTTACATTTACACATTTAGCAGACTCTTCTGTCCAAAACGACGTACGTGATACATTCCAGAGGTTGGATATAAGAAGAAAATATATTAAAAGCATCACAAAATTAAAGATATCATTACAATTAATGCAGTATTCCTTTTTGGAGTGTAGCTGAATGACTACTTATTGCATAATTTTCCATTTGTATTTTTGGTTCCAAAAGTATGCAGCTCTATTTTTCTCATTTTCGGTTTTACAAGCTTTCAGTCATTTACTGAAGAAATAAACACCTGTTACATTTTTTGCTATTTTTTTGTTTTAAGTAGGTTGTGCTTAACAAAAAGGGATACTTGCGTAACAATGTGGTAGAGCTGTCAATCAGAAAAGCACTTTAAGTAAATAAGCTGTATCAGATCTGTTGCATTCGCAAAGGCAATGATTACAGAGGGTTTCCAGTAAAAAGAGAGAATTGAATGAATCAGCTGCTTCTTAGTACAACTTCCAAGACTTTATAATGCCTTAATGCACTGTTACTCAAAAAAATGTTGGCATCAAACTGGATGTATACAGACATATAAATTTAAAAAGTTTTCAAAATTTTCTTCTCTTTGTAGTTTGACTACTTTCTTAAAATTCGTATGTCTCTTGTTCAATCAATCTACTGCTGTTTTCAGGTCAATTTTTGTATGTTTTTTTTTTTTCATTTCCAAAAACTGCAGTTTAGTTTAGATTTCTAAATATTGAAACACAGGCTGCCCTGATGATGCCAAAGAAACTCGCCCCACCTAGTGTGACACAGCTGTACTCACTGAGAGAATGTGACAGCCCACATAATATGGCGCAACATCAAAGCTTTGTCTAGGTCTGTATTTGAGCTGGACTCCCTGTTGTTTAACGCGGCCAATGCCCACCAGTCCTTCAGATAACAGCAAGTGACCACCTGGGGTTGAACTTCACTCCTGGCTCTCTCCCACACCAAGTGACCTTTAACTGAGCCTGGTGGTGACTAGACACTGTAGACAGTGCCTTCGGGTTAATCCGTTATGTGGATGAGAAGCCAATTATCGCAATCCAAGGCCCAGTGCACCAGGGTCCTCCAGTAAAATTTCTCCAGACAAAACAGCAGAGATGCTGTATCCTTTGCTATAGATAAAAAATCAATTTTTTCTACCCTAACCACTACTTTTTTGTTTTTTTTGGACTTTGATGCCTCCTTGCACAACTCGCCCTTCTGAGAATCACTTAAGTGGAAAAAGGTGATCCACTGGATTCCACTGGATGCAGTCAAGATACCTTCTGTCTCTGATATTCAAGTAATAATGATATTATGGTTATGATTACACATAATAATGTACAGTTGCTTTGTTTAAAAAGAGCATTATAAATAAAACATTAGATCCCACAAGGTGTCATTTATTTGAAATGAACATTAAACTATTTGAGGATGAGAGCTGGATACAGAGGATTCCAGCTTAGATGCTGTTAACAGGTAGATTGTGGATGAAAGGAAATGGTTAACATGTCTGTCTTTGTGTTTCTCTAGCTGAGGGGTGGCATGGTGGCGCAGTATTTAGCTCTGCTGCCTCACACCTCAAGGACTGGGGTTCAAGTCTCTGTTTGGGTTCCATGTGTAGAGTTTGCATGTTCTTCCCATTTCACAAGCCCAAAAACAAGTGGAGGTTAACTGGAATTCTCAAACTGCCCATAGGTGTGAGTGTGCCCTATGATTGGTTGGTGCCCCATCCTGGCTTGTTCCCTGCCTTGTCCCCATAGGCTCCAGACCCCTTATGACCCTGAATAGGACACCTGATTACAGAAGATGGATGGATGTCAGATCATGCATGAGAATGCTTGGTGACTTTGAAATCTCTGAGCAATCCCAGAGTATCCCAGAGCTGTTTGCACACAAGGTGTCTGACACAAGGAGAGCAGAAACTCCACCCCCAGGGAGACAGCTGTTTATTGCAATAGTACAACGTCTAGCGCTGATGTCAATAATTACAATTCAGTCTGCGCAATGCTAGACAGTCAACACCCCAACGCCCATGCGAAAAGCCACAAATTCGTCCTCTCACACGCTAGCAACTCAACCCAAACTGCGCACTTGGAGAACATCCCGAAACAAGGACATTTAATAACCAGTGTGAACAGTGGTTTGTGCAGACGCCAGACGTCACGTGAGATGAGCGTGAGGTATGTGACTACAACAGATGTAGAGGCAGACCTGTCCTTCACAGAAGCGACGCAAACAGTTTTAGCAGACGTTCAGGAAATGTCCCATGCCTGTGACAGGGTAGTGTCACCTTTACATGTGCGATTATGATGCCCAAAAATCAAAGAAGAAAATACAGTGGCAGAAAACAATTAAAATAAAAATGGAAGTTGAAGCTAAAGTGATAAGTAACAGGCATTAGGATCAAGTGTTTTAATCATCAAAAAATTCTGGCATTTATTTTCCAGGATGAACTCAAGGCTGAGGCAAAGGAGATAGAGAGGAGCGTGGATCCGTCACAGTTAATTTGGCAATGACCTGCTAACATTAAGGGACGGAAAATCCCTCTGTTTTCCCTGTGCTGCCCAAACCTTCATGGAGATGGTACGGCTGGTGGAGCACAGTTGTATCTAGCTGATGTTGCCTCCTTTGAGTGTTTTGCAGGAGACTGGTCCCAGTTTGGTCATCAGGTCCCTCTCTTTCCACTGGGCCACACACGCACTGGAGATCTTCAGGTCCACCTTGAAAAAGAGCAGGATTTAAAAAGGCAACAATACATCAGAAACAAAACTGAACGGCTGGAACAGCTGGGCTTTGTAATATGATGATTATGCCGGACACGGGATTCAAACCCACCACCTTCCAGACACACACACACAGCCATAACCCACTGATTTACACACCAAGCAAAAAAAGATGCATGGAATCTTAACTTTTATACTAATGATGTCAGATCAATCAGTTATGATTTGATGAGTTATACTGATCAGATTTCGAGATTAAGATTCATAACGATCTGAAATGTGTTTAATTATTCATTATAATCAGGTTGGTGGTCATTCATTGTAAAGAGGTCAAAGGTTAGAGAGTACTTACAGGGCCAAAATCCCTGGGATTTGGACAGAGTCTCCAAGTCCGGAGACCCCCCACACCACACACACAAACATACACGCACACACACAAACACAACTGGCCGGAGGTACAGATGAAGCTAACGGCTGTTTTCCAGCCTGAAGAACATCTCCTCATTAGTGGGGTCTGTTCTCTGACATGGAGCTTCACGTACCTGCAGCTTCTCAAACACCTTCTTCTTTGGCTTCAGCTCGTCGTCCGGCATGCCGGCCTCGAACCCCTCCACAAAGACGCGGTCTCCAGGCGCGGAGCCAATGGGAGGGTCCAGTGGCTCCACCTTCCTCGGATCGCCCTCGCTGCACCCCGCCACACCGAAGAGAGCAAACAGGTCGCTTCAGAAACCAAACCGAGCCAAAACCCAGATTGCAAAACAGCGAGAAGCCAGGCACTGAGCAACAGAGTGGAGACACACCAAAAGGAAACGATTCTTATATGCCACCATGACTGAAACGCCTCGCCGACTGAAACGCCTCGCCGACAAACGCCTCATGACTGAAACGCCTCATGACTGAAACGCCTCATGACTGAAACGCCTCATGACTGAAACGCCTCATGACTGAAACGCCTCATGACTGAAACGCCTCATGAAATTCTGCAACAGTATTGCAAATAAGTGTTTAACTAAACAACACAAACATAAACAAAAAATGTGAAAAGCAGATGGCAACAGGGCGGGAAATAAGAGCCGAGGTACCAAAATAAGTTCTAGTTTGTTCTGAGCTCAACTAAGTTTGAAATGTGGGAACCATCCGGCTGCCCAGCCTTAGTGGCAGTGCTGTGAAGCCATGAGGTGACATAGGCAGCCCCCTAGGGCACCATCTTCTGGGAGGGTGGAGCAAGCCAATTTCCCTTTCTCTCAGGCAAGAGGTGCCGGCAGTGAAGCTCGCCTAGGTCACCACGTAGGCTTCGAGCAGCACTGCTTCAGGGTGGGATACAGGAAAAGGATGCTGAGGCAGGAGGAGAGGGTCTACTGCAGGGAGAGGAGGAGGTGGGACTCACATGGAAGCACAGAGCAGCATGGCTTGGGACTCGATGCCCCGCATCTTCTGCGGCTTCAGGTTACACAGCAGCACCACCAGTCGGTCCTGAAGGTCCTCCTGGCTTACGTAGTCCACCAGGCCGCTCACCACCGTCCGGGGCTCTGCCTCACCCACGTCCACCTTCTCCAGGTACAGGGAGGTGGCATCAGGGTGCTGGAGGTGGGGAGAGAGCAGTGAGGAGCAGTGGGAGATACAGGGACTACGGAACAGGGGTCCTAGGGGCTGGACTTACCCCACAAAAACACAGTTATGTAAAACAAAATTTTTCACAAAGAACCTTGAGAAAAAATATATATATGATGACCCATATGAGGAAAATCTGGAAAACTAGGTCAAGCGACATGGTGAGAGAGAAGGCAAAGAGCAAAGAGCAGACTGTCAGAAATCGGGCCCTTTTTTTTTTTTTGGAAATGCCTCTTCTGGCCGTCATTGTGAAATCCACCCCAGTCGAGGGTCTGGTCTCGGTGGGTCACCAGAGGTGGTGCCACTGTTACCAAACAGCACTCTCTCCTGTTTGGAGTCTAATGTGCTGGTGTAACAACATGCAAAACTGGCGACAGAACCACTACCCCAAGCCATGCCCAAAGTTCAGAACCAACCCCCCCGGGAGGCAGAGATAGACAGAGTCAGACCCCCGGCGAAATGTCAGCACCTCTGAGAAAGGATTTCAAAACATTCATCATTACGATCTGAGAACCATAGGCCAAGTGAAAAGTCATTTTAAGCTGAAGCCTAAATCTTACAAATAACTAATTTAAACCTTTCAGTTGTAGGCATTTAAGTGGTCAATCAGTAATTATTTAACCCATCATATTCATAGTTCGACTACAACAGCTACAAAATTATTTGACAATTTATAAAAATGAAGCTGAAGACTTCATCTATAACAGTCTGAGAAGTTTAAAGACAGCCAACACAAACTCTGCTTTACAGTGATCCCCCACTACTGTATATCACGGTTCAGCTATCGCGCCCCCACTATATCACGGTTCAGCTATCGCGCCCCCGCTATATCGCAGATTTTTCCCCGACGCTTCACAGTTCTCTGCGTATCGCGTACCTTGCTTGTGGTCTGATTGTTTTCGTTTTAAGCCCTACGATGGCTCCCAAGCGTCCTGCATCTTCTAAGCCTTCTGGTAGCAGTGAGCCTAAGCGCCAGAGGAAGACCTTGACCATTCAGGAGAAGGTAAAACTCCTGGATATGCTTCAGGAAGGAAAGCGTTACGCAGACGTCGCTCGCCATTATGGCTTGAATGAATCGACGGTACGATACATCAAGGATATTACATATTATTATTATTATTATTATTATTATGTTACTCATATCCTTAGACCAACATCCACATATCATATGTGTTGTTTTAATAAGTTTATATTTGTTTAAAGCCTGTGGGAGGGGTATTTTAAGGCTTGAACTATAAAAAAAAAATGTTTATTCATATTGTCTTTCTATATCGCGGGTCTGGAACGCATCTTCCATGATAGGTGGGGGATCACTGTGTGTGTGTGTGTGTGTGTGTGTGTGTGTGTATATACACTCACCTAAAGGATTATTAGGAACACCATACTAATACGGTGTTTGACCCCCTTTCGCCTTCAGAACTGCCTTAATTCTACGTGG